GAAGCAGCCGCAATACTGCACTTCTTGTACCCGAAGCGGCCGCGATATTGCACCCGAAGCAGGAGCAATATTTTGGGAAGTCTCACTTGTTTTGTTTTGTCTAATACGCAGTAGGTAATTTCCTACAAAAATGTACGACTGAATGCGACTCATACTTTGCCTTACTTTATTTTCAGCTGTGCATTTTAAAATTTATTTTGTTCACCGCCATTAATTTCCGCGGAGTCGTGCCTAGTCCTCCACCAGGTATTCCTTCCTTACGTCCCATAAAATATCATTCTCGGTAAATGCAGTTGGGCACAAACTTGATCTCAACTGACTGTCACATCACACAGAAAGTTTTAAGCCACGCGTTCGAAGCAATTCCGGTCAAAGCAGGTTAGTTTTCCTCATCACAGCAACACTGTGGAAAGGGTGGGGGGAGAGGGGGGAGGGGGGAGCTGACCTCACCAAAACCACGTTGAGACGTTTTTTTCCACAAAGTGAAAACGTTCGTTTACTTATATCTCCTTTTTTATATCGTCTATCCTAAGGAGACTTAATCAGGTCTGTGATTGACCGCCATTGATAAAAGTGGACACAAGGAACTTAGAATGTAACAGGCTCGAGCAGAGGACTGCAAGTACGGCTACAACACCAAGACTGCCAGTTGCAGGTATCCACTTTTTTATTACATCAACTGAGACCGAGTCGGTACGCTTTCTCGGGATGGTAGAAAACACAACATGCAGAGAAAGATAGACAAGGTCAGGAATGAACAAATATATATTCGAAAAGAAACCAAAATATGCAGACCGACTCAAGTGTCCTAACCAAAAACTCCCCCTCCCCTCCTAAAGGGAAAAAATTTATCGGTACCTTGATGTACTATGATGTATAAATGGTAGCAGAAATACATGTGAGTTGCACAGGAAATGAGAAGCGGGTGACATAAGAGAGGATGTTCCCACTCGTCCCACATGCGTTGTTAGTGGCAGCTGTAGATACGTTCACAGACTCGTGGCGCATTAGGATGGCGGAAGCGGAAGTGAATGCCCCTGGCTCGGAGTCCCGTAGAAGTAATTTTGCAGCCCCCCCAGGCCGTCATTTCCATGTGTGGCGTGCAAAGTAACTCTGCGGAGAAAACCTGGGCGCGCTATCGGGTTATTCAAAACACACAATTAGAAGCTTTTTTTTTTTTTTTCGGGAAGAAGTTTACAGGGATTAAGGAGACGACGGCGCCTCCCGCCTCTGTGGTGGACGCGTTAGTATGTTCGCCGCGTGAACCCCGGTGCGAGGAGTGTGACGTCACGCATCCGAGCTCGCAGATACATTTGTTTTCTTATTTCCGCGTTCAAAACAACTTTAACGTTAGTTTGACGTGCGTGGCGCCACTTCCGTGACCAGGTTCCCTTGACATCGACCTCCCAACTTTGTAACCCTTCCAAATGGGGAGAAAGACGTGTGTTGCCAGTAGCCTCGAAACAGCGGAAGAGTGGGGGCAAACATTGTTCCCTATTGAAAAATATCGGTGACGAAATGATGCTGGAAAACTGCTTACAACCATAACAACCATAACAGTTTGAAACCGACACCCCCAAAGGTACTTGATCGATAGGTTAATCCTTTCCGTTATGTCGTCGGCAAGTCGTTTAAACTAATTACAAAGGCTCTCTTGCATCCAACCAAACTGACAGTGTTCGTATCTAAATCTTCTATATACTCTGCATCGACTATTATGCGCTACATTTTCAAGGCGAGCGTAGTTTCCACTGTGCAGCAGTCTCGCGCTGCTGGGAGAGTGTGTGGCTTTCTAGTTTGCGTGTACTCGCGAGAGTACCTTTCAAAGGGTTGGAGCACTATAAAAGCTAAGCTGGCTTTCACCACGTAACGCAATATATTTGACACCGAGCATAGGTAGAGGGTAAGGTAGTAAATTGTTCCTAAATTGAAAATCGTTCTCCTGCATGACTCCTCGTTTATTCCGCTCGTTTTAGATTTCCAATGTTCCAACTTAAGATATAAAGCCTTTTAGTTATTATATTAAAAAAAAAATGTGTGCTTTAGTTTCAGTAAACAGAAACGTCTATTTCTGAAACTAAGACGGGCGGATATCGGAACAAACCAAACGCCGGAATGCGCCAGCGAGGATGGCGCTACAGCGAACGGGTTTTGCGACGGCTACTCCAGCCACGCGCGCTCTCAGGTTCCGCACTCCTCGTGACAACCAATATTATAATCAAGTATAATTTGATCTCACAGGATGCGCTCCTGATTAGGAAACGCCGATCACGAATCCTGCGAGCAAAGGACATCTGTTCTTGGAATATAATCGGCGGTTTGAGTTCAAAGAATGATTTTGTCCTGGTTGGTTAGGACAAAAACCGTGATCAAGTGCAACCATTCTATCTCCAATTTATCACGAACACTTGGCGCGCATGATCACAATGAAGCATACTTAAGGTAACTTAAACTAAAAGTAGAACGAAAACCACGCGACTCGCTTACCGCGTCACGGAAAGACGCCTTTAGCCTTCCGTGACTTCGGTTCGGTGACGAGAGCAGGCCGTAGGCCTAGCAAGCCGCTGTTGATGCCTGTTCGGATACGGCGCGCCAGCTGCGCAACGCTGGCGGCGCCCAGCCGAACTCCAAGAGGGGCCGTCCAGTTAAAATCCAGAATCAAAGAAATACTGGCCCACCAAACGTCTCTCCAGGCCCATAGATCGTCGGAATTCTACAACCGACTGAGGAGAAACCGAGGCGAGGAGCAGAGCAGGTCCAGCCGCTTTCGCAACCACGGCGGCTGCGATATCGGCGGGTCACCACTGCCGGTCGAAATATTGTCTCAGTCGGTCATGTTTCGGTAAGGTACGTGGTGCGGCCGCTGCTGCTCTGACTCTAAATTTCAAGACGACTGCGCTTCTCGAAGTTCAACTAGGCAAAGAACCTTACTGAAAATGTTAAATGCTCCAGGTTGATCGCCGAAGACGGCCGGTGTAGAGTTACCAGGACGGTGAACGTGAAATACCGAAATACCACAATGCCAAAATTTGCGAGGCTAACTTGAGTCCTTCGGTGGAAGGATGTTAGTCACCGGCAACATGGACGCGGCCAAAACATATCGGCACCTCGCTGTAAACATATGGTTACTTGTGGTACATTAGCGGTACCTTAATGGCTGCGTATGTGACAATTGTAAGCATGACGGTACCCTGCTGGAATCCTCATGGTTGCATGTATAACGGTTTTATGCATGACGGCAAAATACAGGAATCGTGATGCACCGCCACTCTCCATCGCACCTTCACCTCCGAAACGCTTGCGACGCCCCTGCCATTAGCGCTGTAACATTTAAGACTTAAAAACCTTGCCGTAAAGCCTACTTGCGATACCACCCTTTTTGCAAATTCGGCTGCTTGCCTATATTTTTGATCATTTCTACTGAAAACACAAGAAAGCGGGGGAACCTTAGCCCATTGAAAATAAGCATTATTGAGAACAATAGAAAAAATTAAAAAAAAAATCCTTCTTCCACAAACCGGGCACAAATTATGGCCAAATTAGTTTATTTTTACAAAATTTAATTATTATTACAAACTAGTTCCTTACAATGAATTAAGTAAAATGGTACCATGTAGATAGCATATGTATAAATGTACTAGCCTATAGTATTTAGAATGAATATATATAGTACATCCTAAATACAAGGCTGGGAATATATGATCAAAGCGTGAAATTGCGATGTTGGCCTTTTTTTTTCTTTTTTTTTTTTTGGGGGGGGGGGATGATATTTGCCAACAAAAGTTTAAAGAAAATAAAATGCGCCATGCGTCATCATTTTACAAAAAAGATAAGCGTGAATGTTCGCTTTTTTGACATATTTATATCAATCGACACAACTGTGTACCAAAATTAAGCAGCCAAATTTAACTTGTGACGGGCTTAAACTGAGAAAGTGGGTTCACAAATTCTGGCATTTCACCTTGCTTCAGTTCCGAATCCTTGTACATATATATATGTTTTCTAAACAAATTTAAAGAGTGTATTTTTTAATTGCGGATATGGGGATAGAACGTGTTTTCCTCCTTAAATAAATCTATCCACCCCGACAAGCGTGTTCCATTTCAAATGAAGCCACCCTTACATTATATTTAATATCTAAAGATGACAGACCATCGATGAGCAACCCTACTTAGAGGTGCAACATGAAGTCGTATATAATGCACTGATCAGCCAAAACATTGACGCCCTCTACATTATGTTAATGTGCACGCTTTGCTGACGCACCATCCGCGTTATCTACCGCCTGCTGAAGCGGATCTTAGCTGACGGCTGCCGGGGATACAGAGGAAGATTGTAGACTACGTTGGCAAGTATTGAAAAAGGCTGCTGATTTAGGCGACTTTAACAAGAGGCAGCTCGTGATCCCCCCCATAATTCGGAAGAAGTGTCTTGAAAACTGCACATGTCATCGTGTGTTCACGAGCTGCTGTCAATAGTACCTATCAAAAGTGGAAGAATGACGGTAAAACCGTTACATAGACGCCGAGGCGTGGCACGCTCAGGCCTTATCACAGAATATGGAGGTTGGCGGCTTTCCTGCTTGGTGAAGCAAAATAGGATACCTGTGGCTCAAATGAGAGCTAGATCCAATGCAGGTCCTGGTACAAGTGTTTCTGAGCACAAACTTGATCGTACTTTGTTGGAGCAACTGCTTTCGTACCGTAGCTTTATCAACGTGGTATTAGGTAGGCGGTACTAATATTTGGCCCATCAGTGCAAACTATAAGAGGACTTGAGCAATCAACCAATATGACCGGACTCCTAAGGATACGGCCCGTCGTCATGGTAAATTGGCGTACATTGATTTGTCACTTTGTAACTAAGTTGACATCTATGCAACATGTGGTAACCAAACACATGCGGTCAGATTCTTTGAGCTATACCAAAATAGATTCAATTGTTAATAAAACGTAAGTAAAACATATTCCATTAAACCTATATATTCTTTTTGGTATCAGCCTGATGTGGACGTTCAAGAGCCATACAAGGATAAGAAGAGTCGACAGGAGGCCTTTTGGGTTCTGCCCGTGGATCAAAAATGGCCAAGCGAAGGAAGGTTGGAATTCCAGGGCTACGCTACGTCTTACCGGCCCGGGATCTTGCCAGATGTCCTGAAAGGAGTCACATTTTCTGTGCAACCGCAAGAAAAGGTGTGCTTTTTTTTTTTTTTTTCGTGTATGACCCTTTTGTTTGCTAGACCGAGGTTGATACACCACCAATGCAATCGTGACGACGTACTAAGAAAATCATCCGCAAGCAGGATGGCAGCAGAAAATATGCATATACGTGTTTTTATTATTTATTCTAGCTTCTGTGGTTCTCTGCGTACAGCCATAGCTTCGTACTGCTCACCCGCAAGAAGATCCAACGAGGCAAACACAAAAACAAAAATTAAGCAGCCCTGTGTTAATCCCTTGTTCAGTCACAGCAATGGTTCCGATAGGTCTCAGCGAAGTCGATGGGCATCGGAGTTGCGTTCATGTGCCGTGGGTTACGTAAACAAATAGTTATGTGCAAAAGAGACATCTGTTTTGCCCTGGAAGTTTATGTTTTGTTTCAGTTTGTTTCCACCGATTTTCTTTTTTCGGGAGAGCATGAAAGCGCGTCTACCAGCTCGAGCTGTTGTCATTTATAGTGCTACGACGGCATTATGTTATCTGCTATTTCATTTTTCTATAGAGCGTGTCCAGTAAGAGTCGGGTACCAGAGCCGTATATGCAGAAAGTTTGGCCATTCATTGAAAAGTATAGGAGTCAAATGAGGAGACGCCATTGAACGAAAGAGTGCTGGGCGTGTTCCAGGGTGTCTTCACAAGTTCGAATGTGGCCAACCGGTAGACGGAAAATAATGCCCTGGCGGTGGTCGCGAGAAACAAAATTAATAAAAACGTCGGAGTAACTCTCGATGACTGAAAATATGGTGCATGTGATGCGGTCATACAAAATCATGGTGAAAGAGCGCGACTAGCGGAACAATCAACGTAATCCGTACGCCAGGCGCCGAAGGCAATCATCCGTCCGAGCGGTCACACTCTGTCTGAGCAAAACAGAAGTCTAGAGGCACATTCGTTTCTTACATCTTTCTGCATGATCATAATCGAAAGATCGCGTGCACCCTATTTTCAACCATGAAACGTTACTAGATTTAACTTTTGCGCGCTAATTAAAACCACGTATCTATGATTAAAACTGTTTATCGCTACTACCGCTAGGGGGCTCTTTTCAGCTTCTGGTTGGCCAAGAGATCATGTCAGGTCCTCTTTCTGCGTCTGGTTCACGCCCTGACTGGAGTGTACTAGAAAGTACCCTGGCTCTGCCCGCTCCATTGCGCGCTTAAAAGCATGCTTCAAAGGCTCCAGTAGTGCGGTACGCGGAACACAGCAACGGTTTGCGAAAAGTCCCTTTTATTTGTATTGTTTTTTTGTTCTTTTTTTTATAGCCATTGTGAGCAAGTATGTTTTACTTTACGTGATAGCGAAGTCGAAGCTAGAGGTAAAAGCCTGTTCCCCTGAACGATGCTCTCAATAACCTCGCACTGTGCCAGCGCCCTTGCTTGGCAGGGAGGCTGTAAGCCCTGAGCTCACCCTCGCTCGCTTGCTTCCGCTGTGCTTTGGTTGCGCGTGCCTGGGCGATCACACTTCAATAGGACGTATTCACTGGCGACCATAGTTGTGTGCGCGACTGCTGAGCGCGTGCTGATGGCGAGCTTTCACGGTTCTTTCGCAACGTGCATTCCGCACCATCAAGATTTTCGGTGTTAGCTACCTATGAATGTGGGCTCGTTCTGAGCATGCGCTCTAGACAGCACCCACGAATATGGCATCCAGTGAATACTTCTTATTAGCTAACTATTAGCAAGGGCAGAAAGCTCGTTCTTTAGGTGGAGCTTCTCGTCTCATTTAAAAGGTGACGCTGGCAGTTAGAATGAAACGAAGTGTAAAGATCTATAGCGGGGGATCATAATGACGCACGGAAATGCCACCCAAAACTATTCTGTTTTGCTCTACTGGAGCGCTGTTCAAAACTCGATAGGAGAGTTCTTGTATGTCTACCTAGGGTAGCAGAGCTGCGCGCGTTCATCCTCAGGGGGGGTCGTAGCGCCGGCTTTCCTGAAGGGCCCTGAACTCGGCGAAGGGAGGAAGAGAGAATTCGGCGAATAGCGCCGCCGCGCATGGAAAACAGGGAATTAGAAGAAGGAGGCAAAAGTAGAAGAACATACGTCTGGGCGCGTGCAACGTCGGCAAAGCGACCGTATCAGCGACTTTCGTGCACGGCGCTGGGTTTTTTGCTCCTCACGTGATCTATTTCGCAAATAGCGCCGCGGCGGCACGTGGAAAACAGACGCGCAACTCTGACTCAACTTTTACTTGAAGAGTGCTGGAAACAAATCCCCATGCTGACGGCAGCCAATCTTCTCGGCAAAGGGTTTGCCACAAAGGAGTGCGCTGACAGCGAACTTTCGCCACCAACGCAAGCGGGTGGTCAAACCATATTTATTCGATGATTATGTCAGCCCCTCGATGTGTTTGCATCTGTCAACGTTATACGTTGGTATTTGTCTTTCAAGTTGCGTCGAATGCGCCATTGCACGCTGCCCGTTTCTCAAGCGACCCTTGGGATTGAATGGCGGCGGAGCACCCGCTCGTGGCACGTGACTTGCCCGTTTCGACAACAATTGTTGGTGGTACTTGTAATCGTGAATTTTATCGAGGCACTTTAATTGAGAGCTACGGGCCTGGCGTACATTTCATTTGGGCATACAGATGCAGAGTGGAACGCGCGCAAACGCAGCTGTGGTTCCCCCGCGGCCCCGTGCTTGTTGTTCTAACATCTCTGGCTCGCTTACTGTGGGTGTTTCTGGCCTCAGACACACAGACACCTAGCGCCGTTTCTGTCCCTCACGTGGTGTTTCAAGTGGTACACGACCGACAAGTGCAAATCAAGCTACCTTTCAGCACGTGTCGCCATCTGTATTAGGTTGTAGAAAACTGCAACGTTCCGTAACTAAATGGGAAAAGATTGATATGTAATACAAGATTTCACTTGTAATCTATCGATACGCAGTTTCTGGAAAATTTTATATCGAAATACGTTTTATAATGTAATGTCTCGTAATTTTCATTAGTTTTCGTGATTTTATTTTTATGGCAGCGGAAACAGTATAATTTTATACTTTATTTTATTTTATGGATATACATATCTGTACACTTCATTCTTTATTTTTTTAATTAAGTATATCCAATAGACCTTTCGTGAATTATCGTGGATGTTGGGACGTTATAACACGAGGCAAAAATTGTTCAATACCATGCACTGTTGTCTACTGAAAGTTAAATAATAAACTAGCAAGTGAGTATAAACGTAACATCGCGACATTAAAGTGCAATCAAAACGCAGTTCTTTAATTTAAAATTAACCTTATGACTGTAGAATACTTAGAAAGCTATGAACCGTCAAACCGAAGCAAACGGTCTGTACGGTGGGGTCGCACCTTGAACATTCGCAGCAACTCGCTTCCTACTGCGCGCCACGCAACGGTGCATGCGACTGAGTGCGGGGAGAGGGGAAAAGAAAAGCAGAAATGAGGTGTTGCCGAAGTGCCGTCATTGTTACTGTTGTTGTTGTTGTTGATTACGGGCTTTATGGCGCAAAGCTACTATGGCCATACTGCGCCAAGCTTGTTGTTACTGGGAGATTAGCCTTGCTTGCTTCCACCCATCAACACACGTTCTTAGAAAAATGGCCTTAGTACTTAGTAACTACAAGTTAATAACTCTTTGTCTCATATGTTACTTACCTCTTAGTAACCGCAGCTATTAAAAGGAGTCTCTTGGCGGTTCGTAAAGCCAAGGAAGTCAGTAACGACAAATGGGTTTATTAAAAAAAAACATAGTAGGAACAACTAGACTGATTTAAAACATACACTAATTACCTAAAAAATTGGAGTTTCGATTTACCTGGAGAAGGTAGGGGGCTTTAGCTATTTCCCAATTAAAGTGCCATAATATATTTATATTGTCCGCGCGACTAGATTATGGTCTCCTACAGTATAACACTGATGGCGCAGGTGAGCTGGTGTTTTACTATTTTCTTCAACCATCTGAGACTGTGTGGAGAACAAGAAGAATCGAAAGTAGAAAAAACGGAAATGAATGACAGAAGGAAAGGTCCCAGATACTGCGGATTTGTTTATTCAATTGCATCTTCATATATAGAAATTTCTCAAGATCAGTAACCAACCACCACACAGATAAAAAATAAAACGTGTCTAGAGCATTATTGTGTTAATAAAAGCGTTCCTTGTTGTGTTTTTGTGTGTTCAGTAGTTAGAATAGAGAAAACAAATGTACCTTGGTGTGTTTAGTGGATGACTAGTTGTAGGATGCCTGCCAGGGTTATATTGTTTTTGTGATTTGAACTTCTCTGGGTTTTTATGTGCAGAACGTTGTTTGGCGATCTTGAGAGTGTCGTATACCAGAAGATGTAAGTGAATAAACAAGTAAGATAAGTTTGAGATGTTGCCTTCTGGAAATCAGTTCCTTTCTCTTTCAATTTGAGATCTTCGTGTTCTCCTCCCAGTCTCAGGCGGTTTTGAAAAATGATACATCTACTACGCCTTTATTACGCACACATTACACGCGTCGCCAATCGGTTGAACGCATCACTTATAGGGATAACATGCTCAAACGGAGTAGACAAAACACTTACATGAACGCACGCGCCAATGCACCCACTGGATCAGTCAATGGCTCTTCCCTCTTTTACGTATCCGCCATTTTTAAGGCACAATTTTCTAAAGGATTACTTCAGCAAAGAATAGTTTTAACAGAATGTTTTTCTGTTCTCACTAATGTCGTCCGACAAAATTCTGGGCGGTCCAAGAAATGACTCTTAGTGAAAAGAAATCCATTCACGCAGTAATTATTTCCGACAGCCGATATTACTACCTGCTCTTCTGTGCTTCCTATACCATGTTTTAGCTTCTCCGTATAGCTCCGCAGCGACACTATACTAACGGACAACCTTCTGCGGCATTTCAGAAGATGTAAAGAGCACTCACGCATATCTTAGATTGGCGTTCAAGATCCCCGGTCGTCCATGCCCCGTGATTTTGACTCGATTGCCATTTACAGTTGTCGACTTATATTGTTATGATTAACGACCCGACTTTCCATGCCAAGTAGTAACAGGAGAGCTCGTAACAGTTACTGCTGAAGCGTATTCGTAACTGTTACTGCTCTATCTAGTATAGATATCATCACTCTTCATACTTTTTTGGCTATTTAGCAACAGGAGTTAATGCATGTAGCGTACCTTATTTACTGCCTGTAGCGTATTTCAGGTAGTGAAGAGCTAGCAAAGCGGTAGTAACGCCCACAAAGAGGTTGTAATTGTTGCATTACTGATTGTTTACTAACTTGTTTATAAGAGTGCAGCTTGGTCGGAGAATCCAGCCGGGAAAGGTTCGAGCTACAAAATAAAAAAAGAAAAGAGGCGTCTGAATGGCCCCAACTCGCCATGAAGCAAGTGTGTCAAGGGTTCGCTCGCATTTCTGGCAAACCCTGCGAGATATGGGCAAGATTAAATAGTTTGAGGAACCGTAATTATTCCATCACAGGTTTTCAAGATCGCGAGGTGCGCAACCGCCCCATCCCGTGCGCCCGGAGTTAAAACCTGAGAGTTCTTTAGCCGGTAGACTCGTAATGCCCAAATGGGATTTCGGTCCCCTTTCTCGTTATGTTCGGACATCCCTCTTATCTTCTAACGTGCTTCGACGGCGTCGTGCCACCCGTATTGTGGCAATTAAAATAAATTTAAAAAAATATTTAGAAATGTCTTGTTTTGTAAGGATGACCTGGAATCCGATGTGAGAACAGTAAACGTGAAGAAAGGTAAAAAACACAGGCGAGCTGGTGAATGATATCCATAGTAACCCTGAGACGTAGGGAAAAAAACGTACAGTGCAACGAAGTCTTCAGTAAACATGAACTGAAGATTGAGGTAGTGACAATAAAAACGATGACGAACACGACTCTAAGCCTGCACCAGGAATAATTAAAGCTGTACTGTTCGTTTTTTTTTTTTTTTTTTTTTCCCCTACGTATCAGGGTTACTATGGATAACAGTAAACGTCTTTTATTTGAAAAGGTGATTCTATTCTATTCCTGCACCAGGAATAATTAGCGTTGTACTGTCCTTTTTTTATTTTTCCTACATCTGAGGGTTACTATGGATAACAGTAAACGTCTTTTAGTTGTAAAGGTGATTTTATCTGGGGCCTGCTAGGAACTATACCATGTGAGTCATTTGCGTTATTGACCCATTGAGGAAACCACCCGAATTTGTTTCATAACATAGCGGGTAAACTTTTTGAACAGATGCGGCCGAAATTGCGCATTTTGTGGGCAGCGGTTGATATATATCCGAAGGTTCGATAAATATAATAGTGTTTTTGGCTTGGGGTCCATTCAGTGTGTTTTATTCGTAAAAATAAAATCATGCATTAGACACACAAAAAAAGCTCACGCCATATCTGACACAAAATTGTAGTCGCCTCCATCTGTGAGGGGTTGCAAAAATCGAACACAATTATTAGCAGATGGCGCCGTCGCTAGCGAATTCGCCATTTTAATTCTTACTAATTTCCCGTGTAAGATAATTCATTGTATATGGCTGAGTATGCTGGTCTCTAAATTGCGAAAACGAAAGAGGGACATCGAAGGCAATACAAAGGAAACAGGCTATGATGTTTCTATTCTCTTTTATGGCAATCTTTTTTCAGTAAGTAAATTATTTCTGTCTTTATGTACTAAATGCACCATCTTTGGTTACTTCTGTACAGCTTGTTTAGGGTGATGCGTCTAAGAACTGTTTTATGCGGCCCGTTCATAGACTATTATATATAAAATTAAAGGCCTATTTGGCTCACGCGGCATATGATGCCAATATGGTGCCTAGCAAGTTGTGTGACGAATGCACTCTCATCCCGTTTCTTTTTTATTTGTGACAGTGAATGCATCTACGAGTGTGGCGAATACACCAAAGGTTAAATTTCGCTCTCATTTATCTGCAAAATCAAATTGTGTTTTGTGTATATGTTTAAGCAGCCGGAAGTTAGCCTCAATTGGCGTCTGGTGACTCAGCTGTAGATGAGCAATTTCGCCAGTGTGGTACAACAGCTAGCACGGGGTCTATAACCTGCCCCACGCAGTAGTGAGTTACGACAGCAAGCCTGTACGGTGCTCATCGAGATCGAAACGGGCAAGGGTGGGGATTGAACCCAGGATTCCTGGATCCTGCAGCTCTAGCTTTCGCTCCACGTGCTCCGAGCTGGTGTGCCCTAGCCCACTCGACCACCGATCCCCCCTCTGGAAATCATGTAATGCATAAACTGCATGATACAAGGACGAGCATTCGAATTTCTGTGGAATATATCAAATAATGACTTCATGGAGTGAAGGAGTGTATATTATTAATTGTTATTTTATCACTCTCTCCTTTACGTGTTAACCTTGTACTACTGAGAGTATCAGTATGTGGTAATGTAACACGAGATGTAGGGCATATACCTTCACCTGTCCACCTAGAAATTACTTAAGCTGGGATAAAGGTAGAGCTCTGAGCTGCTACAGAGACGCTCAGTGGTATATTTATGGTGGTAGGTCGGAATACGTATATTTGATTAATTCCGAGTAACATTGCTTAAGCACTTACGTTGTTTCGTTTATTTTGCTGTTGTGTCCGAACCGATTGAGCTTAGGCGCTCTGCCATAAAGTACGTGCGGACGGACGGACGTACGGACGGAAAAACAGACGTACGAAATTCTACGCGTAGAGTGTTCATTATAAAACATTACATGATTTGATAAAATGTAAGACAATGCGTGGTAGGCGAAGAGTTTCCTTTTAGTACTGAAACCGAAGTTTTTGCTGACTTTCAGCGTTCTGCATGACAAATGATACTTTTGGTTAGCGTATTTCTCACCATCTGAAGGTTCGAAAAATGTTACCTCATCACGGTCCGCGTTCGGTTTTAGTGTCTGGCCTTGTTTTGGTCTCCACCATGTTGTGGGAAAATAGCCGTCACACAATTTAGAACAATTTATCGCTGTGTGCCACTAATACTAATAATAGCTTTCTGTGCTCCTTCAACCATCCCAGAAATAAATTCTGCCAATGCTCCACAGCAAAAAAAAAAAAAAAAAAAGATGTAGAAGTTTATTTTTTGCGGTGCGTGTTCTTGATTCCAATGTGGACAAGGTGTGAGCCAAACAAAGTCCTCAAGCTTGCAGAGATTAGGATTGATATGGCAGCTTTGCGATCGTTTTATTGACTTGATAAACAAGTGTGTTGCGGATCTCTTCTCTCTAAAGGTGGGTGTCGTAGGAAGGACCGGAGCTGGCAAGTCGTCCCTGGTGCTCGCAGTCCTCCGGGTTCTTAAAAGCTCCCGGGGCAGCATCCGCATTGACGGCGTCGACATCAACGCCGTGCCGCTGAGGAGGCTCAGGAACGCGCTCACCGTCATTCCTCAGGTGCTGCATCTAGTGGGTCGCGCGAAAACAGGCTTCAGCAGCATTAGTAAACCAATTCAATTGGTGAACAGGCACTAGACAATTGACACCTTTCGTTCGTAGCGCCATTCTTCTAAATGCTGCGGTGCACAGTGGGTGCGGCTGTGTCCTGAACTAACGATAACTGCTATTGCATAAACCAGTGGTTCTCAATTGAGGGTCTGCGGACCCTTTGCGTTTCGCGAAGGCATTCTAGGAGTCCGCGAAGTCCTGTTTCATCAGTCAAGCCGGGTAACAAAGGTTGTCTTTTTTTTCAGATTGAGAAGAAACGTTTCAGTTTTTGTGTAGGCTTTTTTTTTTTTTGTGTGTGTGTGTCAACGAAAGATATCTACTTCACCTACCCCTGAGTTCTATTTATTTATTAAATCATTATAATTAACACAAACCTTTCCCTTCCCGTCACCACGAACAGGGTCCTGCAACATATCCGCCGATCCACAAGGTTGAGAACCACTGGTCAATTGTTAACAGCAATGGTTGAGAACAACTGGCATGGACGTTCCACACCGTGCAAACAGAATCGCTCTTGGAACGATGGGTGTTGAACTGTGGCGGCAGAGGGGGATTTGTTTCTCCACAAGTGTTTTATACTTGATAGCATTTCTTTCGGCCCACATTACGAATCTCTAAAGGCATCTGAACATGTTAAAAAAAAAGTTGTTATTGCAGTGTATGATATATCGGCCGGCTCAACGGAAATTTGATGATGCGCCTTAGTGGGGATGATTTGAAAATGTATGTTCGTGTCTGGTATCAATGAAGTGCAGTTGTGGACATTTCAAGCAGTGAAGCTATTGGGTGCCGTAGCGCAATTGAGGTCGCGGTAGTTGCCGCAGGGATACCAGTTACGTGTCGTTTTCTTTCTCCTCCCTTCACTATGGGAAGGGTGGATGACCAAAAACTAGACGAGAAGCGCTCAATTACAAGCTGAAGGATGTGTTCATATTCTTTATGTGCGCCCCGAAGGTTTTCTGGTCGAAGACAACTTGTTCCTCAATGGGCCAGCCGTAGGTATATAAAAAGTTACATCATGCCTCGGGACTTCTGTGTTTATAGTTTGGTAAACGGGAGAAACATGTCCAGAAGGCATGTGTTCTCATGAGGCAGCGGCTTCTCGATTGTAAAACTGAACGCAGGACCTCGCGGTACCACCGAGAGGTTCACATTTGTGGTTGCGTCGATTATCTTTTGTTGGTCAGGTCCACCAGTAGATTGCCGTTTCTCAGGAAATCGGCACCGATGATCGCTCTCTTCAAATCTTCTACTGATACCGACTTATGAAATAGATGTCCTAAGCCAATGTTTAGGATCAAAAATTTTTTCAGTAGGTATACATGGAAGATGCACTGACTCTTCGCAGCGATAATGTTTTGTCGTGATTTCTACGGTAGTGTGCGATGGAAAAAAATATGCTACCTCTGCGCCACTGTGGCCTGGGAAGCGCAAGCCGTTTAATTGGTCCCGAACGTGTAAAATGTGGTTTGTGAGTTGGTATGAGCCGCTCGCAGGACAGGTCTTCCGGTTTTTATGGCCTCAGAAACCAAAAGATCGGAAGTTAGGTTTCTTTTAAAACTAACCAGCAATATATCGGCTGTATATCAGGTAGATCGTGTTTTATTTTTCCTGACTCCTGATGGCTTGATAACCTAGCTTCTTAGTTTGCTGAATGGCCTGATCGGCTAATAGCCTTATGGTCTGTAGTATTTTGGGACGTCCGATGGCTTTATGGTTTAATTCCCTAATAATGGTTTAAGAACGGAGGTTTGATGTCATGATGGTTTGGTGTCCTTATATGAACTGTCGTAATTTGGGACATCTGTCGTACTGATGGTTGGATGGACTTATGGTTTAAGGGTGAAGTTTTGATGGCCCGGTGGTCTGTCGATTGTTTTTTTTTTACACCTTATTATCTAAGACTTGATTACGTAATAATGTATGATAATTATGGTTTGATGGCGTAATGGTTTGAGGGTTTGATGGTCTCTTCTAGTTAACTCTATATAATTTATTTACTCCTAGGGCACGAAATTATTACGGAGAGGAGTCCAAACTATAACACACCTATATTGCCTAAGATTTGAAAGTGGGATATGAATGTAACAAAAAAATGAAAGTCGTTTACAACTTCCTGTGGCGCCGAATTAGAGCGCAGCTCTTGAGGAGGAGGGGAGGGTACTGAGGGGAGGGTACGCCCCTCCTCCTCATCTGTACCCTCTCCTCCTCCTCTCCTGCTCCTGTGCTTCTCTCTCCTCCTCCTGTCCTCCTCCCTCCTCATCTCCTCCTCTTCGCTTAGCCTCCTCCCCTCCCCCTTCCATCGTCCTCCTTCCTCCTCCTCCCCTTCCCCTCCTCTCTCCTCATCCTCGCTCCTCCTCCTTCTTTCCCCTCCTCGTCCACCCCTCCCCCTCCTCCCCGCGCGTTGCACCACGGGACGTTTCCCATAATGCAGCGCATGACGTGACGTCACGTGACCCTCGTGTCACGAATCCCGCGCGTTGCATAATGGGACACTTCTTATAACGCCCCGCGCGGTTACACCGACGGCGGCGCCGCACAAGCCAAAAAGGGCGCCTAACAGCTGCGCTCTAAAAAAATAATATATGTTTAATGAGGGAAACTTGTGCCTGTAAACCAAAACAGAAGGTATCGAGCACCCTGTGTGGGCAGTGGAAGGGTCACTGACTTCAAGCTGCGCATTACGGCTGCTTTCATACACTCACTCCTTTGATACATTCAGAAATATTCCGAACTAGAACACATTTGATGGCAGCCGAGAATTGACTGGAACTTTTCAAGAGAGCACGAGGTTAGAGAAGAAACATTGACATTTTTGCAGTTCGTCACGGTCACAGTTTTGTCGGGCTATTTATAATGATTTTTCCCGTCCTAAGATGTTTGAACTTGTTGATACCAACCTACAAAATAACTTACCGCATACTCCTTGCACCCCTTCCCGTTTCCTCCTCTACCCCTGATATCTGCACAAAGGCGAGACTCGATCCTCTTGTTGCTACATCTGAGGGCTGGAAAGCCGGGAGCTTATCCCGGCCTACCCAGCCCCAAGACGCAGGAACAGAAGGACTCCACCGCCGTCTGTTAGGCGGAGGGGAGGGGAAAAGGAAGGGTGGTGAGGGGTATTTTCCTATCTTCCTAGAAACCTTTTTGTAGGTTGGGCTTTAACATAAGTTGTCTTGGCGTACCCTCGTGGTCGTCTTTGTTGTCGGCGTTGTTCACGGTCATCGGTTGCCGTGGTAGGTTCTCGCCCTAGGCAGTCGTCATCGTAGGTTGTTGACGTCATTGGTCATTGTGTCGTAGCTCGTCGTAATCGTCGTAGATTGTCGTCATTGCAGGTTGTCGTCATTGCAGGCCGTCGTTGTTGCAGGTCGGCGTCCTATGTAGCCATCGTCCTAGGTCGTCGTCTTCATTAGTTAGGGTTAGTTAGAGATAGAGTCAATTAAGGTTAGAAGATTTAGCGCAAGAGTGGGTGGGGTTAGTGGTGCTAACTCCACCTTTCACGTTTGAATGTTCCCGCTAAATGTGGCGGGTAAACCGAATTTATGTGCAGGTCACGTGACGTCAATTTTCCCGCAAAATGTAGTCTTGAAACTGAATTTGCATATAGGTCACGGACAAGAAGTCATGCGACGTCAATATTTCCCCTAAATTTAATGGGGAAACAATGTGCGAATAGGTTACGTCACATGAAGTCATGTTATATTATTTTCTACGCTAAATAAAGCGGGGAAATTCGCAGCTACGGTTTTTGAGGCTTCCCTTCTACTGAAAATCTAGCCTATAAACGTTTCAAGGTTTATAAAAAAAACGTTGCACAGATTGCATGAAGTACATGCACTCTGTCATACTCATAATGGCGACGTACCGCAGGCAGTACACGCACAACATCATTCTCAATATGGCGACGTACCGCGGGCTTAACGGCGCAATTTTTGTGCACGACAGAACAACGTTGCGGCGGACGTGGGTCCGCTACTGCGGAACTGTCGTTTCTGGTCCCGGTCAATCAATCTTGAAGCCCCGAGCATTGAGCGGAATGGACAGTGTGGAACAATCACGCCGCAAACGGTGCACACAACTTCGTCGTTGTCTCCTTCACACGCCGTAGAAGCGAAAAAAAAACAAAAAAAAACACGGTTGGGTGCACCCACGTTAAAGACGAACTACCTCCTTCTCTACATTTTTCTCTCCTTGGCACCCATCGTTCACATGTCGAGGCCATAAACTTTTGTGCTCATGTTTCGGTTTCGAGCCGTTAATTTCTATTGCTCTATTAAAAATATACAGAATTATGTAGGAAAGTATTGATTGAATAGTATCCTGAGAGCATAATAAAGGGCATGGCAAACAATTTTTAAAAAATGGGGAAGGGGGGTCACTGTTTTTTGTTTTTTTTATGAAACAGTGACACTTTGTTCCTGGAAAATAAAACAAATAGTACCGAGCACCCTGCGTCGGCGACAGAAGAGTCCCTCACCTGAAGCGGCGCGTTACAGCTGCTTTTATTCACGCGGTACGCTCAGAAATATTCCGAATAAGAACACTCTACGACAGCCGAGAGTGGGTTGAAACTTTCCTGAGGAGTAGAAGGTTATGAAAGGAACATCCGGGTCAAGCTGGGTTCCAACCCCTTTCCTCCGCGTGGCAGCCGCGTGGTGGATCAGCTGGATATTTTTCTACGAAGGGACATATTAGGCAAGGATATAGATGCTTTCACAAAGGTAATTCTAGCGGTGCGGTGATAGGAGGTTATAAAACGATCAAGGCAATTTTGGATGGATTCTTCTGCGGATGCAAGGTGATACCATGATCCTAGATTGACGCCGCATATACGAGATTACTGCGAATTAAGGTTTCATAAAAATAAACTATTAATGCAACGGGTGCTAAGGAAAAAATCCTTATGTTGTAGCCCAATAATTGGTTCACTTTGTTAGTGAGGCAGTCAAAATGTATACATTTCAGCAAAAATTACTAGCTCTGGGTATTTATAGGAGGACACACTAAGAAGGACAAACTTATTGATAAAGTGCGAAGCACAATTTCTTTTTGACAAAACTAGTGAATTTACATTTAACGATGTTCAGTTTCATATGCCAGTAATTGCACAATTTGGCAACACTATTATGATCGGTCTGAATACCATATAAATTTCAAACTCGCTGCTAATTTCTTTGTAAATACCACGTCCAGTCGTCAGAAATAAGGCGGATAGAAGAGGAGACACGACGTCTGAAGAGGCATCTAATGGGACATCTGACTGCCTGATGGTTTGATGGTTTGTTGGTCTGATAGTTGGTGCGGTATTCTATACCCACATGAAACGGCAAATAGCATCATTGTAGCACAGTCGTAATTAAAATTTGTACTTTGAGCTAATTTTAATTTTAAACAAGCAAATTCTTCGCAAGACTTGCGAAATTCCTACAGAAATCTGAAAGCAAAATTCAAGTTTTGATTATGACTTGTAAATATTTCATTTTCTTTAAAATATTTAAATATTTTCTTTAAATAACTACAAAAAACAGTTTAAAGATTTTATGGCGATAGAGAAATACAAAATAAAATGAATGTATAAAATTCTATCGTGGTACATTTGTACTTCAATACTGCCCAACACTAAAACTTAACTCACATATGCGTGTACACTTCTTGGCCAACATTTAGTTAAGAAACAACTGGAAACCAACGGGTGTCGATTGCAGCTGTAAATGGGAATTGTATTTAAAATTAGTTTGTTTGCTCTCTTGTTTTGTTTTCGGTTGTGCCTAATCTAGGTTTTATTCGCGGCGTTAAGGTGTGCCCTTAGGTGAAAGTGGAGGGTCAGTGGCCGAAGGAGTACCTCCTGGCGTATTTCTTTTATTCTATAAAGGACCCAAGCCTAGTGCGGGGCAGCCTGCGCGACAACCTGGATGCCACTGGGAGCCATAAAGACGAAGAACTGTGGCAAGCGCTGCGAGAAGCACACCTGGCTGACTTCGTGGCCTCGCAACGGAACAATCTTCTTTTGGAAGTAGGTGACGGAGGTTCAAACCTGAGGTAAGACTGGCTACTGGGATTGTTTTAAGGGTAAAACCTTCAAACTTCGACAGAGAAACGCTCATATTAATCTTCGATCTGGATAACGAAGACTAGCCTTTCTGGTCCTAGTTGAGAGCAAGACTCGGCATTTAATGACGAATAGTTTTCACTCGCGCTTTTTTGAGGTCTTATCACAATACAATTTTAGAAATACAAACTTTATAAAAATCAGGACCAGAACAAATTACGGTACGCAATTACTATCTTGGCAGATTCCCAATCTTCTCAACCTCCACCCTGGCTTGACCGATATAATCGATCACCATTCTAACCTCTTGACTTTCAGAAAACAATCAAAACATATTTTTTACTTTCCGCATAATACTGTTGTCTTCTAAATGATGTGTACAGATGTAATTGTAGTAATCTAGTTCATATATTTTTGTTGTATATTGCGACTTATTTATTTTTCATTGCAAGAGGATATGTAGTGTAGTGATCTAGTTACTGTGTATTTTTTGTTTATGGTTAACTGTAACACTCTACCACTAGTCTGCCTGCTGCATCTGCTGCATCTGCTGCAAGTGTAGTCTGGTGCTAGGGGCCTGGTCAGGTGACTTAATGTCGCCTTTTGCCTCAGCACCATGACAATCCTGTATTGTCAAAAGTTCCAATAAACAACAACAACAATACCCACCCAAGCAGCACGAAAATACTTGGCCAGTGCCGTGCCGGTGTCAGCAGAAAGTCGTTCCCGTTATCGGTCGAATCTGCCGTTTCGCACCACGTCCCGACATCGGGGAGGTATTGGCGAACCTCCGTTTCGCAACTGTTGTAGTATCGATGGGATATTGTGTGAGTACTGCCCAGATCGAACAACAGGTTTTGCCTAGATATCGCATATGCGTGTGCTTTGTATCGGCCGATTGTTTCATATTGCTTCCAGAAGTTTATTAAACCACAATCATTATACACTGCGTGTTTTCGAGATATTTACAAAACCGATACTCCTCTGTTTAGCGTAAAACAAACTATCAAATATAATTATACTGCTTTCATGTCAAGCAAACCGTATAAATCAAACACGAAGGACCGAAGAGATAAGAGTGTTTTAGTGGATCACTCCAAGTACTCCGTTAACGATACCCGATACACCGCCTCCGCCTTTGATTAAACATCGTAACGTTGTCGGGTATTGATATCGGAGCTATCGGAACGATCTACGAAAAGGCTCTATATACACGGAAGCAGGACTACAATCAGAAATATATTTGCAGTGTACTTATAAATTAAACAGCGATATCATGCAATTTGTGATAGATGATTACTCTGACTCGGGCAGCATGCAGCAACGTAAACACGAAGTCGAGAAAGAAGAAGGCGGCTCATATTTAATGAAAGTCTCGCACTCACTGATAACCAGTTATTTGTTGAAGCGCGTCCAACAAACACAGCACAATAGTTCCATGAACAGCGACGAAGAAAACAACCATTACCGAAAAGTTTGCTTGGGCGTATATCGGACGTTTACGATGAAACATCACGGTCGAAACTCCCACGCAGGAAAGCAACAAAACACTGAAGAGTGCACTTCGTAACTCTGGCCTACATTGCCCACTAAACAATACCATAACTTGGGAAACGGCGAGGACTATTGCCCCGGTGAGCTCATCAGCGCGTCAGTGCGAGTTAGGCGACAAATGTTCGTCCAAGCGTTTTTGTCCTGCGTCGAGCGGTCACGTGTTTCGCTTCGCTCTTCTGATTTATTTGAATAGGCCGTCGCTCTCGCTCACAGCTATACGAAGACCCAAAAAAAGGTGGGAGAGCTTAAAGGGGTACTGCTACGTTTTCTTTAGAGTCCGCGATTCCTATGAAAATTTGCAGAACATATCAGCAAACATCGCTGAAATAGTTATTCTGGACTAAAAGAATTTTTTCGCGACGTTATTGCATTTTCTGTTTTTGGTCATCACCGTGTTTTTTAATCAAAAAGTCTCTACTGGCAACAATAAAAAAGTGACGTCAGGGTAAGACAAAGTCTACATTCCAAAGAGTGGACCGTCAGGGTCCACTCTTTGGAATGTAGACTTTGTTCCCAACTGATTACAAGCCGTTTCATGGTGCCAAATGAATGCTTTGGAAGCTGGCTCCGGCATCCGCGCAACAGCAGAAAACAAATGCTCGGCATAGTCTAAATTTAGACTTCCCCCTCGACCTGCGAACCCTCCTTCTCCTGATTTCAATGCACCGGAAAGGGCGGGGACAATTGAATACTCGTTTTGGGATCATTTCACTTTTCGATTCCACAATATTAATTTTGAATTTTGCGATACTAATTAGCATACCGGAAAGGATAATGGCCGGGAATTTTGAAAATATAGTTAGTTGGGAACGTTCACAAAATCGCCGGAGTACCCCTTTAAACAAAAGTCCTGGTCGAAGGGAGATGGACAGCAGCTAAGGTCGCTCCGATTTTTTCAGTCTTTCTCGGTTTAAAGATAAGTAGATTCTGTTTCGTTTAATTTCTTTCTTTTTTCAACGTTGGTTTTGAGTCGGTCAAAAATCGGGATGCCTCGCCAGTATAGCCGAATCCCCAACGAGATTTTGCGACACTCAATTATTAAAGTTTTCGGATACGGTATGTCAGCAAGGCGTCGGCGCGATTATTCGATAGCTCACAGATATCGGTTGGACCGAAATGGGTGTCAGCACAATATTTCCAGTTTGACACCAATAACGGCACCATAGTCTGTTGCTGCTGAGAAGCCATCACTTCATTGGGTGAGCGACGTGATTGCGGAAAAACGCAACATGACACAACCACAATACTTTACAATTCTGGTGTTAGTGAATACTAACACCAGAATACTAACACTTGGGTCATGCAAGATACAACATCTTGCATGACCCAAGTTTTCCATTAGATGTCCGTAGCCAGAGTTAGTGCAAAAGTTCAGTTTTCTTGCAAATGTTTATTTCCAACTCTAATTATTTCTCCAGACACGCCGTTCCATTGCACATGTCCCTTACAAATAAAAAGGCTTCTAGGATATAGCGGTGACGGATGTTTGCTTGCTGTTCAGCGCAACGTAAATTACAGCGGGCGGAAGCGTTTGCAGCTTGTGCAAAACATAATGTGAGTTCTACCAACTCTTCTGCAGCGTCGGACAAAGGCAACTTGTGTGCCTGGCCAGGGCGCTGCTAAGGAAACCGAAGGTGCTGCTCTTGGACGAGGCCACGTCCCAGATGGACGGGGACACGGACCGCTTGATTCAGACAACGCTCAAAAAAAGCTTTGCCAGATGCACAATTTTGGCCATTGCACACCGTATCAACACCGTCCTGGACTACGATAAGTGAGTGCCTTTCTATGTTTTCGTCATGTAGCTTACCGAAACTATTATGAAAGATAAGTTCCTAGAGCGTGAATTCACTAATCCCGCATCCTGGTTTTTAAAACGCTTGATTCTTTTGTTCAGGATCTTGGTGATGGGCGACGGAAGAGTACTCGAATACGGGCCAGTGGATCAGCTGCTGACAGATGAGAAATCCCTATTCAATGAAACAGCGAAAAAAGCGGGCGTCCTGGCCAAACGAAGCAGTTTTACAGGCGATTCATCTTTCACGAAACTCTGAACAATAATGGGGAATAACCACGCCAGAAAACAACTCACAGCGAGTCACTATAAAGAGCAACTTTCAACTTTGTGTATTTGTTGCCAACAAAGAAATAAAATTCCTACTGAAGCAACAAGGATCTCCCTCAGCTGGTTAGAGCGTTTTGGTCCTGAATCTCCTGAACCCTATGATCAGTGCTTGTTTTCGTAAATGTCCTGATTAGTGCCAGCAAAATTTCACTGGACGAACTGGGTGCAGTGACCATTACGACATAAGAGGGAACTTACAGAGTTGTGCCCTTGCATTTGGCTTTGTTCATGGCAAGTCGCCTTATACATTGGGCCCGCGGATCATCCCGATCCCGGGAAATCATCAGTCAGTGAGGTTGGAGTGCCGTGCGGTGTTAGTCTGACTTTTTGGCAGCTTGGGAACTACACTACTTGGTCAACAAATATCCATGGCGGCAATAGAGGCATATTGGGAGTTCTGTCTTGGTTAATGAATGAATACTTTTCAGCATGGGACCCCTATGGCATGTGCCTTGTGCTCACAATCTTGGTGCTATTCGCGCTTCAATGAAACCTACTGAGGGACACAACGCACCCGTATTTATCGGGGTAGTTAGAGATCTATATTCCTTTCACCCGTCTGCTGAGTGTAAAGCGAATGCTACGGGATACATCAGGACCATGACAGAGCGGTGCTCCCTACGTGTAAAGAAGCCATCATGCTGCTTTTTTCCGGCCGTTTTTTTTTTCTAATACTTTAACTCGTAGTTTCATTAAGTTCCTCTTTACTCATTATGAAACACGAATGACTTAACAGTTGTGATAATCACCGACGTTTGTTTACACCAAATGTGTAGAAGATTAGAGGAAGTATTCCCGACTTACTCATCCAGCGCGATGTCATCTTCACGCCGAAAGCGATTCCATGAGACTAAGAATCGAAACTTGATTCGCCCAGCCATTAAGGAGCTTGCACTCCAGTGTCAGTATTGCCTAAGATGTAAACAGAGTCTTGGCAGGTCGCGAGAAGAAGATCTAAAACATAGTTTGTTCGAACTACCTTCGTAGGGATAACGTTTCACCTCGCTTATTTTCACTGGACAGCATGCCTAGAGTTTCAACTACTACCCTGGCGGAGTGCTCAGCACGGGTTCAAGAGAACGCATACTCACCCGACTGTTCACACTGTCGCGCAGTCGCGCGGTTCCAATGCAGAGCGCTGCAGCCAGACAACAGCTCCTACAATGCAAAGCGTCGTGCTTAGATTTGGGCTGAAACGCGTGTCTAGTCAGTGAAAACACAAGTGCCAGCCGAAGGATGACACAAATGTGTGTGATCGGAGTCTCGTTTTGACCTTCTTTAGGCCGCACTAAAAGTTCAGCACCACGGCTTCGTTGTGTAGGTGTTGCTACGCCCGTGCATCGATACAACAGGTTCGCCGATACAGCACTGACTGATGTCTCGACTTGCGTTCGAGTGTTTATGGCGTTATATGGTGGCAGCCACCCCTCCAGCATTCAAAGGGAAGAGCTTAAGTTTGCAGCACATCAAACCGTTCCAACTACGCAAAGCCTGTCTGCTCCAAGTTTATTGGAGTTCTGCGGAAAGAGGTGTTTTTCCCCTAGCAAAGCATTGGTTCCTCCCTGACTCTCAATTGTCCTACGATTATCGGGGGAAAACAAGAACAGTAAAATTATGAGAGAAATGTCTTGCAATTGAGAAACTGGTCGGAGTGTTTCTTATCTGCTATCAAACTGAGTTTGGGCGAGAAAGATCGGCCTCTTAGCGCAAGCCTTGGTGACGGACGCCTGACGAAAAAACACTGTCCGGTAGAAAGTTTTCACGTGCAGTGCAACATTCAATTAAAAAACCGTGGCACCTCTTTTTTACACACATCAATGTCAAGTTTGGTTGTACCTGGTGTTGTTGGTGTACGTTTCAGAGCGCAGCTCTTAGGGGCCCGTTCCCGGCTTGAGCGGCGTCGGCGTCGCCGTCGGCGTCGCCGTTGGCGTCGCCGTCGGCGTCGCCGTCGCCGTCGGCGTCGGCGTAACCAAGGTCATCCCAAGGTCACGTGACCCCCTGAAGGTCACGTGACCCCTAAGGTCACGTGACCTTGGGGGTCACGTGGGGTCATCTTGGGATCACGTGACCCCCAAGGTCACGTGACCCCTTCCAAGGTCATCTCAAGGTCACGTGACCCCAAGATGACCCCACGTGACCCTTTGAAGGTCACGTGACCCCCAAGTCACGTGACCCCTCTGAGGTTACGTGACCCCTCTGAGGTCACGTGACCCCGAGGTCACGTGGTCTCCTCCCCAAGGTCCCGTGACCCCCGAGGTCACGTAGTCTCCTCCCCAAGGTCCCGTGACCCCCGAGGTCACGTGACCCCCACGTGACCTTGAGATGACCTTGGAAGGTCACGTGACCCCTCTAAGGTCACGTGACCTGGAGGGGTCACGTGACCCCCAAGGTCACGTGGGGGTCACCTTGGGGGTCACGTGACCTTGAGGTGACCCCCAGGTCACGCCTCCACGAAGTCACGTGACACCCCCCCCCCCCCCGAGGTCACGTGACCCCCCCCCCCCGGAGCATATTAAAGAATGAGGGGAGGAGGAGGAGAAGGGAGAGGGGTCTACCCTCCCCTCAGTAGCCTTCACTCCTCCTCCTCAAGAGCTGCGCTCCAATTCGGCGTTACAGGGATTTGTAAACGGCTTTCACTTTTTTCCTAATATGCCACGTCTTCATACATCTTCAAAGAATGCTTTGTGTGTTTAATTTTTGGTGCCGTACGGGAACCCTAAACTTCACGGAAGAAACCCATTAAACAGTTGAATATATCTTAAGTAAAGAACAGTTCGTCCTTCGAAAGCTACTTTTCCTTTCCGCAAACAAATAAAATTACGTTAAACTGTGCTAAAAGTATTGAAACAAAAATACAACTTTAGCAACATTAGCAAAATAAAAAAAAAATTTATTTTGTCGGCGCATTTCAAAAATTGTTACACAACATTATAGAAATGTTCACCTTCTTTGGCTGTCTACACGACTTATAATACCTTCCTTTTGGCTTCACTTGTAACTTGATATGATTCAGTGGTCCAAGTTGTTATATTCTCTAGGTTCAATGCAATATAAATTAAGCGTGTGTATTAGTGCTGAAAAAAATGTAAATCAATATTTGGTGGTCTTCGATTCATAGTATTAATTTACTAAAACGAATGTCCTTATGATCACACATTTTGTTGATTGAAGCTCTGTCGGTTTTAAATATAAGCCTTCTGAATTGTTTCATTATATTTTTTTTACATTTATTGAAAGCCTTAGAGGAATTATCGAAGGTGTATGTGCATTTGATTGTTTTAATTATCGTATCTTCCGAACGATACGGAACCGCCCCCTTGTATCAAAAAAAGGCACTGTTGCAATATTTCTGTACTGATAATATGCAAAAGATACAAACATGGTCTTATAGATGGAAGCAGATTATGGCGTTAGTTGTTCAAAGTAGCTGCAGAACTGAGCTCTTTAAAAAATTTAGGAGGAGCTATGATAAAATTAATTACGAGGTGTCTTTTTTTAAGCTTAGATTTGCTTTAAAAAACCGTGAAAGCTGCACTAGTGTGGTTTCTGCAGGTGAATTATACGGCCAGGGGGACATAGTATAGAAGCGAATCGCAACAATCAGTTGGCTAATTAACTAAAACTTGTTAATTAAGTCTTTAATTATTAAAGACAAACAAATGGTTCGAATTAAACACTGAGCGCCACCGAAAACCATCAAGTCTGACAATATTAGAAAGACTTGAAGCACATGACAAACAGGCTAGAGTGATAAAAATACCATTCGTGCAGCCGGATCAAGGCAAGTCGTGTGACAACGCGGCAGCGCGGTTTTTATGCCTCTTATTGTAGTCCCGGCTTTGTACCTCTCGCACAAGCCGTAACTCTAGCGCACTAAAATATTTCTAAATATGACTGTTTTTTTTGTTGTTGTTGTTTTTTTTTTGGAATTTGAAGCTTATAATTACAACCATATATGTCTGACCTCACTAATTAAAAGTGTTGATTAACACAATTTAGTTAATTATTTATTTATTATGCCGATATGCTCCGTACATTATGTCCCCTTGGCCACATATTTCTTTTCCCCAAACCGCATTAGTGCAGCTTTCAAGGATTTTTAAAAGAAATCTATTATGCCTCAAAAAAGGCCCTGCGTAATGTCGTTGCTTTTTTTTTTTTTTTTGCTTTTTTTTTTTTGCTTTTTTTTTCTAGCTTTAACGAGAATTTATTGTATGAGGCTTCACCTTCATGCATCTACTCAATTTATGTGCAAGTTCTAAGAATCACTAATTTACATTCAGGAAAATGAAATTTTTTTCTTTTTATTTCTAAACCTTATTACCATGATTCTCCTTGTGATTCTGCACTCGTAGGTCTACAGCGCTCATATAGTTTCTTTGGTTCAGAACGTAATATTAAAAGATTTATATATAGACTAAAACTGTATTAGACCAGCAGCGAAACCTTTGAGTATTAGTTATTTCTATGAGCAAAAACGTGCGACTAATATAATGTCTGCTGTTACACTTACTTGAACATTTTATTCCGCATGTTTTACATTACGGCCTTCCACAAAAATGGTGGCGTTTGTAAATTCAATTTAGGCTTGAATATGCTGATTTTCCTTCTATAATGACCCGTGCAAACAATTTTGTTTATAAAATTGAGTAAGATCTAGAGTTGAAAGCGTCCTAAAGTATGATGCAGTGCCTCTCATTCATTAATGCAATGTTCCTTTGAACACCTTTGTTTTTGTTTTTTTTATATTGCTGTCAATTTCGATGAACCCAGTTTCTCCTCAGCATCGCTATGTTTGTTAACAAACTGCATAGAGAAGCTGGATGATAATTTCTCAGTTATTTGGGAAATTCTTTAACCTTTAAGCAGGATGGTTTTCTTTTTTCCCTACAACAATTTTTAATAGCTCGCAACGCCGCCGACTGTTTA